GTATATAATCCACTTCAATCTTATTCTTGACTTCCCCTTCGATCTCTGGTAGCATGAGCTCATACAAGCCATCGGGATTATCTTGCTTGTTTAGTTTAATAAAATCAATGGCCGCCTGACTAAACGGTGAATAAAACACCTGCACCCTAGCTAACGGTTTATCATCAGGTGGTACTGGTGTATTTGTACAGGGTTGTGGCCTGGATTCATCCTGGTTATAATAAAATTATAGTTAGATTTTAATAATTAACTTATTAATGAATTTTTAAGTGTATTAAACATACGGTAAATGCATTGCAAACAGCGGTTTTCAAATCAGTCAACGCATTAGCACTACGTTTACCATTGATTAACACCAATGGATCGCTTGCTATATAAACAAAAATTTTACTTATTAATAGATTTATGTAATTAAATAAGTATACAAAGACTTACCTTCATCAATTCCGGGATATAATATGTCAGTGGCTGCCAGCACCTCATTCAGGTAGCCGTTCCCTTCAGTGTTATCTACGGCGGCACAGGCTTTAAGGGCGTCGGACGTGCCCTCATCAGGACCCTCGTCATTCACATCTCTGGCACATTGGGCTACCTGTGCTAATGGGTCAGTTATCCATGTATCTTGATTAGTTGTGCATAAAATCATATAAAACTCGTGGTGATTGTGGTATAAGGACACGTGGTTACGAGCGATACATGCCTGGGTAAAATAAAATTATTTTATATGGCGTAGGGATAAAAGCTAATTTTAATTATACACAAAATCAAACAAAAGTTTGTGTAATAATTTTATTTATTCTACAGTTTTGAACATTTATTTACCAATGTAATTTAAAAACTTACGTGAAGTCTAGTAGCTATACAAGTGTCATCCCCCTCAGCGCACGTGTACGTAAACTTACCAGTACCAGTATCGGTGTCCCTGGTAGCCCTACCCCACGGTATATAATCCACTTCCACGTTATACTTGGTCTCCCCGTCCACCTCAGGTAACATCAACTCATATAATCCTTTATCATTTCCCTCGGCATTCAATTTAATCAAATCAATGGACTTTGTACTATATGGCGAGTAATACACTTGGACTTTAACTTTATCAGTTGGCACACTTATGTCAACAGGCACATCCGGATCCTCTGTCACATCTGAGCAAGGTGCTGGTCTCAGCTCTTTCTATAATTTTAATAAAGTATAATATTATATAATACTTTAATTATTTATTTGCAAAAATTTAATCTAATAAGTATCACCAACCGGTATTGCCTTGCACACTTCGTATCTAACTTTAGTCAATGCTTTATCATTGCGAACTCCATTAATTAATATCAGTGGATCACTCTCTGTAACCAGGGTAAATGTTTTAAAAGTTTTAATCAAAAAACTGTAATTTATATGAAAATTGCTATTATAATAATCTAACATTTTAATATTAATAAATAATTGGACCTTATTTCAGACCCCAAGTTTTTACAAAATTATATATTTTAAAAATAAAATACCTGGGGTAATTTCTGGATAGAGACCATCAGTGGCGGCCAATACCTCATCTAAATAGCCGTTCCCCTCGACATTGTCTTTAGCGGCACAGGCTGTCAGTGCATTAGCCGTATCGGGATCGGGCACCTCATCATTCACTTCATTCACACATTGGACTACCTGTGCCAGTGGATTGGTTTTCCATGTATCCTGGTCAGTGGTGCACAGTATCATATAAAACTCGTGGTGGTTGTGGTATAGGGACACGTGGTTGCGAGCTATACATGCCTGCGCAAAATACAAAAATTATATTATGACGGTAGCATTGATTGTTCCCAGATGCCAATTCTTTACTATTAATTATATTCAATAAGCAATAATTTAAGTTTACAGTTTAATCAATGATAAGTAATAAATATTATTACTAATTTTAACCCTAATATATTAATGTGAAATTAATAATAAATATTTATTAATTGATTTGTGTCAAAGTTTAGCAATGTAAATTTTAATAAATTAAGTTATAATTTGTTAAAAGTAATAATTTTTAATATGTTTTTGTGACACTTACATGAAGTCTAGTGCCGATACAGTCAGTATCATCATCAGGGCAAGTATATGCAAAACCAGTGTCACCCTTATCTCTGGTAGCCCTACCCCATGGTATATAATCCACCTCAATCTTATTCTTGACTTCCCCTTCAACCTCTGGTAGCATAAGCTCGTACAGACCATCAGGATTATCTTGCTTGTTTAGTTTAATAAAATCAATGGCCGCCTGATTATACGGTGAATAAAACACCTGCACCCTAGCCAACGGTTTATCATCAGGTGGGACGGGTGTATTGGTACAAGGTTGTGGTCTGGATTCATCCTGGTTACAATAAAATTATAATTAGATTTTAATAATAACTTATTTATGAATTTTTAATTGTATTAAACATACGGTGAATGCATTGCAAACAGCGGTTTTCAAATCAATTAATGCATTAGCGCTACGTTTACCATTGATTAACACCAATGGATCGCTTGCTACATAAACAAAAATTTTAATTATTAATAGATTCATATATCAAATAAGCACTTTAAGCAATTAAAATTACCCTCGTCAATTTCGGGATATAATATGTCAGTGGCTGCCAGTACTTCATTCAAATAGCCGTTCCCTTCAGTGTTATCTACGGCGGCACAGGTCTTAAGGGCATCGGCTATGCCCTCATCAGGACCCTCGTCATTCACATCTCTGGCACATTGAGCTACCTGTGCTAATGGGTCAGTTGTCCATGTATCCTGGTTAGTGGTGCACAGTATCATATAAAACTCGTGGTGGTTGTGGTATAAGGACACGTGGTTACGAGCGATACATGCCTGGGTAAAATAAAATTACTTTATTTGAGTTTGTTCAGAATTACCAATTTTAGTTACTTACAAAATCAAACATAAGTTTGTGTAATGATTTCGTTTAGTTTACAGTTTAGAAAGAATTAAAAAATTAAAACTTACGTGAAGTCTAGTTGCTATACAAGTATCATCCCCCTCAGCGCACGTGTACTTCTTAAGGGCATCGGCTATGCCCTCATCAGGACCCTCGTCATTCACATCTCTGGCACATTGGGCTACCTGTGCTAATGGGTCAGTTATCCATGTATCTTGGTTAGTTGTGCATAAAATCATATAAAACTCGTGGTGATTGTGGTATAAGGACACGTGGTTTCGAGCGATACATGCCTGGATAAAATAAAATTACTTTATTTGAGTTTGTTCAGAATTACCAATTTTAGTTACTTACAAAATCAAACATAAGTTTGTGTAATGATTTTGTTTAGTTTACAGTTTAGAAAGAATTAAAAAATTAAAACTTACGTGAAGTCTAGTTGCTATACAAGTATCATCCCCCTCAGCGCACGTGTACGTAAACTTGCCAGTACCAGTGTCCGTATCCCTGATAGCCCTTCCCCACGGTATATAATCCACTTCCACATTATACTTGGTCTCCCCCTCCACCTCAGGTAACATCAACTCATATAATCCTTTATCATTTCCCTCGGCATTCAATTTAATCAAATCAATAGACTTCGGACTATACGGCGAGTAATACACCTGCACTTTAACTTTATCAGTTGGCATTCCACCTCAGGTAACATCAACTCATATAATCCTTTATCATTTCCCTCGGCATTCAATTTAATCAAATCAATAGACTTCGGACTATACGGCGAGTAATACACCTGCACTTTAACTTTATCAGTTGGCACACTTATGTCAACAGGCACATCCGGATCCTCTGTCACATCTGAGCAAGGTGCTGGTCTCATATCAAATCAATAGACTTCGGACTATACGGCGAGTAATACACCTGCACTTTAACTTTATCAGTTGGCACACTTATGTCAACAGGCACATCCGGATCCTCTGTCACATCTGAGCAAGGTTCTGGTCTCAGCTCTTTCTATAATTTTAATACAATATAATATAATATTTTAATTTATTTAGATGTTAATTATTTATATAATAAACCTTACTAACCGGAATTGCCTTGCACACTTCGTATCTAATTTTACTCAATGCTTTATCATTGCGAACGCCATTAATTAATATCAGTGGATCACTCTCTTTAACCAGGGTAAAAGTTTTTAAAGTTTTATTAGAAAACGGTAATTTAAATTATTATTGTTATTTCAATATTTTTAAATTTTGATATTAATAAATAATTGGAAACATTTCCGAACGCAAAGTTTTTAAATAATTATATATTTTTAATAAATAATACCTGGAGTAATTTCTGGATAGAGTCCATCAGTGGCGGCTAATACCTCATCTAAATAGCCGTTCCCCTCAACATTGTCTTTAGCGGCACAGGCTGTCAGTACATTAGCCGTATCGGCATCGGGAAACTCATCATTCATTTCATTCACACATTGGACTACCTGTGCCAGTGGATTGGTTTTCCATGTGTCCTGGTCAGTGGTGCACAGTATCATATAAAACTCGTGGTGGTTGTGGTATAGGGGCACGTGGTTGCTAGGGGCACGAGCTATACATGCCTGGGCAAAATACAAAAATTCTATTAAATTAAATTTGATTTATTGTATGTAAAACGTATTATTGTGTTGTTGAATCAGTGCCATGAGCAAATAAAGTTTTTAGTATTAATTCAATTCAATAGTAAATAGTTAAGTTTACACTTTGAATAAACATAGCTAATAAATATTACAACTTAAATTAAGTCTAGTATATTATTTTATTATTTTATTGTTTCGGGATCGGGCACCTCATCATTCACTTCATTCACACATTGGACTACCTGTGCCAGTGGATTGGTTTTCCATGTATCCTGGTCAGTGGTGCACAGTATCATATAAAACTCGTGGTGGTTGTGGTATAGCGACACGTGGTTGCGAGCTATACATGCCTGGGTAAAATACAAAAATTATTTTAAATTAAATTTGATTTATTGTATTTAAAACGTATTATTGTGTTATTGAATCACTGCCATGGGCAAATAAAGTTTTTAGTATTAATTCAATTCAATAGTAAATAGTTAAGTTTACGCTTTGAATAAACATAGCTAATAAATATTACAACTTAAATTAAGTCTAGTATATTATTTTATTATTTTATTGTTAAATTGTATTAATTTATTTACCAATGTTTATCAATGTAGATTTTAATAAATTGAGTTATAATCTACTAATAGTTATGCTCTCTCTCTCTCTCTCTCTCTCTCTCCCTCTCTCCCACACACACATATATACAGACACATGCAATCACTCACTCAATTAATCATAATACTTACATGAAGTCTAGTGCCGATACAATCAGTATCATCATCAGGGCAAGTATATGCAAAACCAGTGTCACCCTTATCTCTGGTAGCCCTACCCCATGGTATATAATCCACCTCGATCTTATACTTGACTTCCCCTTCAATCTCTGGTAACATGAGCTCATACAAGCCATCGGGATTATCTTGCTTGTTTAGTTTGATAAAATCAATGGCCGCCGCACTAAACGGTGAATAAAACACCTGCACCTTAGCCAACGGCTTATCATCGGGTGGGACGGGTGTATTGGTACAGGCTTGTGGCTTGGACTCATCCTGGTTATAAAAAAATATAATTAGAGTTTAATGATAACTAAAAATATTACTAATTGTATAATATTAGACATACAGTGAATGCATTGCAAACAGCGCTTTTCAAATCAGTCAACGCATTAGCACTACGTTTACCATTGATTAACACCAATGGATCGCTTGCTATATAATGAATAAATATTAATCATAATTTAATCCACATAAATAAGCAAGCATAAAAAGAATTACCTTCATCAATTCCGGGATATAATATGTCAGTAGCTGCCAACACCTCATTAAGGTAGCCGTTCCCTTCAGCATTATCTACGGCGGCACAGGCTTTGAGGGCGTCGGACGTGCCCTCATCAGGACCCTCGTCATTGACATTTCTGGCACATTGGGCTACCTGTGCTAATGGATCGGTAGTCCATGTATCTTGGTTAGTGGTGCACAGTATCATATAAAACTCGTGGTGGTTGTGGTATAGGGACACGTGGTTGCGAGCTATACATGCCTAAGTAAAATAAAATAAAATTATTTGAATTTATTTATCACGGCTAATTTTAGTTATTTACAAAATCAAACATAAGTTTGTGTAATGATTTTGTTTAGTTTACAGTTTAGAAAGAATTAAAAAATTAAAACTTACGTGAAGTCTAGTAGCTATACAAGTGTCATCCCCCTCAGCGCACGAGTACGTAAACTTGCCAGTGCCAGTATCCGTATCCCTGGTAGCCCTACCCCACGGTATATAATCCACTTCCACGTTATACTTGGTCTCCCCGTCCACCTCGGGTAACATCAACTCATATAATCCTTTATCATTTCCCTCGGCATTCAATTTAATCAAATCAATAGACTTTGTACTATACGGCGAGTAATACACCTGCACTTTAACTTTATCAGTTGGCACACTTATGTCAACAGGGACATCCGGATCCTCTGTCACATCGGCACATAATGTTGGCCTTTGGTCTTTCTGTATAATTTATGAAAGGTAATATTTTTAAAATTAATTTAATTATATATATTAAAATTATACTGACCGCTATAGCCTTGCACACTTCATATCTAACATTAATCAGTGCCTTATCATTGCGTACGCCATTGATTAATATTAGTGGGTCGGACTCTTTACCAAGGTAATTATATAAAAATTAATTAAAACAGTTTTTATGTATAAAACTTAAATACAAATACCGGCGCTTAACTCGGGGTAGAGTCCATCAGTGGCGGCCAATACCTCATCCAAATAGCCGTTCCCCTCGACATTGTCATTGGCAGCACAGGCTGTCAGTGCATTAGCCGTATCGATATCGGGCACCTCATCATTCACTTCATTCACACATTGGCCTACCTGTGCCAGTGGATTGGTTTTCCATGTATCCTGGTCAGTGGTGCACAGTATCATATAAAACTCGTGGTGGTTGTGGTATAGGGACACGTGGTTGCGGGCGATACATGCCTGCGTTTAACATAATAGTAATGCAATAGTTAGTATTTGCACCAAAAAAATTTTTAATTACCGGTATAATAAATATTGTAAATTATAAGGTACTGGTATATTTAATTGTAATACAATAATTAGCTTACTTTTTTACCTTCCAGCCAAAAACTATCTAGGTGTTGTAAGCTATTTCTCATTGCAAATATTCACAATTTATAACTTTAACTGGAGGCAAATAATTTATCTAATATAAAATAATAGTTTTTAATGCTCTATATTATTACATCATACTAGCTGGTCGTAATTGTCTTATACAGTAGCTTATAATGAAATTTAAATAAAAATTTAATGTTAATACATTTTTTTCCCAATCTTATTAAGTTTAAAAATAATCAATTATTTAATCCAATCTTATAATTTAGTTTAACAGTTTTCATTATAATAAAATTAGTTAAACTTAAATAAATATAAAATTAAATTTTTTATTCTCTCTCTCTCTCTCTCTCTCTCTCTCTACTTACATGAAGTCTAGTGGCGACACAATCGGTATCATCACAGGTGTACACAAACTTGCCAGTGTCCACATCCCTATCCCTTTTAGCCATACCCCAGGGTATATAATCCACTTCAATCTTGTTCTGGACTTCGCCATCAACCTCCGGTAACATGAGGTCATACAGTCCATTAACACTACCTTGCTTGTTTAGCTTAATGAAATCAATGGCTTTCTGACTGTATGGCGAGTAAAACACCTGTACCTTAGCCAGCACATTTTCATCGGCTTTTGGCTAATAAAAATATAAAAAATTTTGATTTTATTTTCACATATAATTATTGATACCGTTTTTAGAAATATAATATTTAATTATTAATTAGTATTTTATTGCTTTAAAAATAATATTAATTTATACTTATTTATAAAACTATTATAAATAATTATAATTAGTTTGATATAATTATTTAATATTTAATTACAAATAATTTAGCTTAATAAAATAGTTAACTAATAATAAATTTAAAGTATTACTAATATTGCTAGAATAATACCTTTAACCTTGTCCTACTAATTACGTTAGCATTTAACAAATTAATTGACCATGCTAATAGACTAAAAATAACTATAATATTCATATTAAAATATAAACAAATATAATTTTATGTTTAATTCATAACTATTACAAAAAAAACAAATGCTAAAATTTAAAACTAAATCTACACTCAAACTAAAACATAAATGAAATGATAAGTTAATAAAAAATATTTCAATTATTAAATTTTTTATTATTGAGTTAATTAACACTAACTGTTAGTAATTAATTACATTTATCTTTATGATGATATTTGTAGTTTTATTATATGAATTTCTACGTGCTTAAAATAAAACTATAATTAAATAACTATATTAATAAAAATTAATTAATTTGATAAGAAAATTGTGTATGTGCGTGTATCTATGTATGTTTTGTTTATTTAGAAATTATATTGTAAAATCCTAGTGTTTTACGATTAGATTTATTATTTTATTTGAAAATGTGTTTAATTTTAAAACATTATTTTACCAATCTTAATTCCGGGAGTACATGTATTATTTTATGATATACTGTATATTAAATTTATTTTAACAGCAATTCATGAATTGAGATACTTTTAAATCTAACGAAAAGTTTTATATTAAATTTAATTTGTAAATAAACTTATTTAAGCAACACACAATATACTGATTAGATAATATTATAAGAAAATTAAAATTTTAAATTTGTAATTTTAAACTAAATTATGCCAAATCTCATACTTATTAATTTGATAATTTAATAATTTATTAAACAAAAATTTCTAGTATTTATTAAAATTTATAATTCTTAAAGATATTATTCTTAATTTACAAATATAAACTAGCCTATTTGTAATGACACGATTCTACAAAAACAAAACTAGCAAAGTTTTAAAAATTATTTAAAATATTTACACAATTAGATTATTGGCATATGGCTATATGATCGTCTACGTGCATAAAAGGGTTATCTATTTTCAGTGAAAACTGTAAACTTAACATAATCCATAGATAGATAGTATCAAAAATTATTATTCCTTTTATAATTAATTAAAACTACATAGTTTTAAATAAAAATTTTAATTTATTTATTTTATTGATAAAAATTTTAATTTATTAATAAATAATTTTATTAATAATTAGCAATTATATTTAATAAATGATTTACATTTATTACAGTTAATAGAGTTAAGAATTACAGTTTTATTAAAATCGTCGGTACTTTTAAAACTTATTAAACTTAAAATCCACATATAACAAAGATTCAATTGATTTAAAATTATATATTTTATTAATGATTAAAAAAGGTCTATTAGAAAATTTTTTAAATCAATATTTTAATTCTTTATTTAACTTAAATGTTCAATATAATTTTTTTCCAATAAGCAAATCTAATAAATAAAATCACAAAATTTTTAAAACACGCACTCTTAAATTATACATTAAAACATTTTTATAATTTATATAATGAATGATCAATTTCTATATATTAGGTAAAAATCTGTTTTTATTAATGAAACAAATTATTCATAAAAAATAATTTATAATTAATAACTACTGCATCCCGGTGATCACCACGCCAATAATGGCCACAAGTACGAGCACCAAGGTGTTCGCTATAACCATGGCATCACCATCAGTGGTACTTATAAGTATAAATTAATATTATTTTTAAAGCAATAAAATACTAATTAATAATTAAATATTATATTTCTAAAAACGGTATCAATAATTATATGTGAAAATAAAATCAAAATTTTTTATATTTTTATTAGTCAAAAGCCGATGAAAATGTGCTGGCTAAGGTACAGGTGTTTTACTCGCCATACAGTCAGAAAGCCATTGATTTCATTAAGCTAAACAAGCAAGGTAGTGCTAATGGACTGTATGAGCTCATGTTACCGGAGGTTGATGGCGAAGTCCAGAACAAGATTGAAGTGGATTATATACCATGGGGTATGGCTAAAAGGGATAGGGATGTGGACACTGGCAAGTTTGTGTACACTTGTGATGATACCGATTGTGTCGCCACTAGACTTCATGTAAGTAGAGAGAGAGAGAGAGAGAGAGAGAGAATAAAAATTTAATTTTATATTTATTTAAGTTTAACTAGTTTTATTATAATGAAAACTGTTAAACTAAATTATAAGATTGGATTAAATAATTGATTATTTTAAAACTTAATAAGACTGGGGAAAAAATGTATTAACATTTAATTTTTATTTAAATTACATTATAAGCTACTGTATAAGACAATTACTACCTGCTAGTATGATGTAATAATATAGAGCATTAAAAACTATTATTTTATATTAGATAAATTATTTGCCTCCAGTTAAAGTTATAAATTGTAAACGCGAATATTTGCAATGAGAAATAGCTTACAACACCTAGATAGTTTTTGGCTGGAAGGTAAAAAAGTAAGCTAATTATTGTATTACAATTAAATATCCCAGTACCTTATAATTTACAATATTTATTATACCGGTAATTAAAAAATTTTTTGGTGCAAATACTAACTATTGCATTATTTTTATGTTAAACGCAGGCATGTATCGCCCGCAACCACGTGTCCCTATACCACAACCACCATGAGTTTTATATGATACTGTGCACCACTGACCAGGATACATGGGCTACTGACCCGTTGGCACAGGTAGAGCAATGTGTGAATGAAGTGAATGATGAGGTGCCCGATACCGAGACGGCTAATGCACTAACAGCCTGTGCTGCCAATGACAATGTCGAGGGGAACGGCTATTTGGATGAGGTATTGGCCGCCACCGATGGACTCTACCCCGAGCTAAGCGCCGGTATTTGTATTTAAGTTTTAAATATAAAAACTGTTTTAAATAATTGTACATAATTACCTTGATAAAGAGTCCGACCCACTAATATTAATAAATGGCGTACGCAATGATAAAGCACTGATTAATGTTAGATACGAAGTGTGCAAAGCTATAGCGGTCAGTATAATTTGAATATTTAATTAAATTTATTTTTAAAATATTACCTTTCATAAATTACACAGAAAGATCAAAGACCAACATTATGTGCCGATGTGACAGAGGATCCGGATGTCCCCGTTGACATAAGTGTGCCAACTGATAAAGTTAAAGTGCAGGTGTATTACTCGCCGTATAGTCCGAAGTCAATTGATTTGATTAAATTGAATGCCGAGGGAAATGATAAAGGATTATATGAGTTGATGTTACCCGAGGTGGACGGGGAGACCAAGTATAACGTGGAAGTGGATTATATACCATGGGGTAGGGCTACCAGGGATACGGAAACTGGTACTGGCAAGTTTACCTACACGTGCGCTGAGGGGGATGACACTTGCATAGCTACTAGACTTCACGTATGTTTTTAATTAATTGATTATTTTCTAAACTGTAACATAAACAAAATTTTACCCAAACTTATGTTTGATTTTGTAAATAATTAAAATTGGTCCTGATGAAAAAACTCTAATAATGTATTTTTATGTTACTTAGGCATGTATAGCTCGCAACCACGTGTCCCTATACCACAACCACCACGAGTTTTATATGATACTGTGCACCACTAACCAGGATACATGGACTACCGATCCATTAGCACAGGTAGCCCAATGTGCCAGAGATGTGAATGACGAGGGTCCTGATGAGGGCACGTCCGACGCCCTTAAAGCCTGTGCCGCCGTAGATAACGCTGAGGGGAACGGCTACCTGAATGAAGTGTTGGCAGCTACTGATATATTATATCCCGGAATTGATGAAGGTAATATTTTTATGCTTGCTTATTTATGTGGATTAAATTAATATTAATTTATATTCATTATATAGATAGCGATCCATTGGTGTTAATCAATGGTAAACGTAGTGCTAATGCGTTGACTGATTTGAAAAGTGCTGTTTGCAATGCATTCACTGTATGTATCATTCAAATATAATTAAACTTAATTTTCTTATTTATAACTTTATATTATTTATGATAACCAGGATGAATCTAGACCACAAGCCTGTACCAATACACCCGTCCCACCTGATGATAAACCGTTAGCTAGGGTGCAGGTGTTTTATTCACCGTTTAGTCAGGCGGCCATTGATTTTATTAAACTAAACAAGCAAGATAATCCCGATGGCTTGTATGAGCTCATGCTACCAGAGATCGAAGGGGAAGTCAAGAATAAGATTGAAGTGGATTATATACCATGGGGTAGGGCTACCAGGGATAAGGGTGACACTGGTTTTGCATACACTTGCCCTGATGATGATACCGACTGTATCGGCACTAGACTTCATGTAAGTATTATGATTAAGTGAGTGAGTGATTGCATTTGTCTGTATGTAAGTATGTGTGTGTGTGAGAAAGAGAGAGAGCATAACTATTAGTAGATTATAACTCAATTTATTAAAATCTACATTGATAAACATTGGTAAATAAATTAATACAATTTAACAATAAAATAATAAAATAATATACTAGACTTAATTTAAGTTGTAATATTTATTAGCTATGTTTATTCAAAGCGTAAACTTAACTATTTACTATTGAATTGAATTAATACTAAAAACTTTATTTGCTCATGGCACTGATTCAACAACACAATAATACGTTTTACATACAATAAATCAAATTTAATTTAATAGAATTTTTGTATTTTGCCCAGGCATGTATAGCTCGTGCCCCTAGCAACCACGTGC